TCCAGGCTGCAACTCTGTGTCTTTTTAATGAAGAGTTTAGTCCATTTACATTTAGAGTTAATATTGATATGTTAGCATCTGTATTTGCCATTGTTTTTGTCTTTCCTTTGATTTTATTTATTTATTCTTTTAATAACTTTTTTTTTGGCCTTCTTTCATTGTTATTCGTCCCTCTGAGGTTCTGGCTTTAGGATTCCTTGTAGTATTTTTTGGAGTGGGGGTTTAGTTGTAAAGAGTTTCTCTTTGTCTGGGAAGGTCCTTATTCTTTCTTCATAGAGGAAGGAGAGCTTTGCAGGATACAGTATTCTTGGTTGGCATCTGTTTTCTTGGAGTCTGTTGACTATGTCCCTCCACTCTCTCCTTGCCCCTAGTGTGTCTTCGGAGAAGTCTGATGTCAGCCTGATTGGTTTTCCCTTGAATGTTATCTGTTTTTTCCCTCTTGTCAGCTTCATTATTTTTTCCTTGTCCTGGATTCTTGGGAGCATTACTATTATGTGTCTTGCTGTATTTTTCCTTTCGTTGTGGAAGTTTGGTGTTCTTCTGGCTTTTTGTATATCAATCTTCATCTCCTTCTTCACTTTTGGGAAGTTCTCCTCAGTTATCTCTTTGAATATTTTCTCCGTTCCTACTTCTCTCTCCTCTCCTTCTGGGATTCCTATAACTCTTATATTTCCTTTCCTCATGGAGTCAGATAGTTCCCGAAGTCTTTCTTCGGTCTTTTTCCTTTGTACTTCTCTTTCCTTTTCTGTTTTGGTTCTTTTTATTTTTGTGTCTTCAAAAGTATTTATTCGTTCTTCCATTTCATCTAATCTGCTTTCACTGCTTTTCCCAGAGTTCTTCAGTTCCTCCATTAATTCTTTGATCTCCTGCGTTTCTTTTGCTTCCCCCTTTAGGGACTCAATTTCATTCTTCTGATCGTTGATTATTTTTCTCTTATTATTTTCCTTTATGAGTTCTGTCACTTTTTTAATCATGGCAATTTTAAATTCTCTTTCTGGAAGGCTCCAAGTTCTTCCAAGTTACTCTCGTTGCAATCTGGGGGGTGGTTTTCTTTTTGTGGTGTGCTTTTGTCCTGAGGAGTTGTTAGGTTGCATGTGGTTCTTCTACTCCCTACTGTCTGTTTTCTAATTTGTCGTTTGCATTGGGACACTGTGTTGCTGGGACTGGCCAGCATCTTGGGTGAACTTCTCCACTCCCCTCTGGCTCCTCCGGGAGCCATCTGTTGGTTTCAAGCAGTCTTTACTGAAGAAAGGTCCCTGTTCTAAAATGCCGATATGGGGACACACTCCCCTGTGCCTGGTCTACCCCAGCGGTGGGTTCCCGCTCCTCCTCTGTGCTTGGACTGCAGGCCAGAAGGGGCCTGGTGTGGGTGAATTTCCCCGCTCACCTCTGGCTCCTGAGGGAGCTTTCTGCTGGTTTCAGTCAGTCTTTACTGAAAAATTTCCCTGTTCTAAAATGGCGATGCGGGACACAATCCCTGCACGTCCTGTCTCAGGCACACTCTTCTGTGCACCCGGTCTTCCCCGGCCGTGGGTGCCCGCTCACCTTTTGGGCTCAGACTGCTGGTCGGAAGGGACCTGGCGTGGGCTAACTTCCCAGCTGGCCACTGGCTCCTCCAGGAGCCTTCTGCTGGTTTCAAGCAGTTTTTACTGAAGAAAGGTCCCTTTTCTATGGGGTGTGACTTTTTTTCTTGTCACTAGGTGGTGCCAGAGATCTCTCCTAGTGTCCTTGGGGAGCTGTTTTTTTCACCCCGTGGGACAGGGAACAGAGCGGGAATGGTAGGGTAAACCTCAACGGCTTTGGGGTTCTGTATCTGCCTTGTGCCCCACCATCGTGGAGAACCCACGCCCTGAATTTTGTGCCCCAGGTCTCAGTTCCAAAGCCCCCAGGTACAGGATGCGGGCTGTAGCCCAGTTCAGTGTCCACAGAAATGGTGTCTTTTGCACCCCACTCCTGTGCCTGGGCGCCTGGTTCCTGATCACTCAGTGAGGGACTTTCACCTCAGTGAGGGCCCCCGCGCGTCTCCCCGCAAGCCTAGGTAGCAGGCGTGGGGACCTGGGCAGCTGTGATCCGCGTTTGCTTTTCAAGCACGCCGCTTTTCCATGCAAGCTTACCGGCTGGCCCGGGGCTGTGTGCATGTCTCTGGGGGTCTCTGTTTTTCTCTAATGGCGCCTGGAGCCGTTCGTTCACCTCCACGGTGAATCCTGCAGGGTTCTTCACAGCTCCAGTTCACTGGTGTGGTGGCTGAAATAGTTCTTTTCCACTCACAGTCCCGCTTGATGCATAGTTTGCTCTTGTTGGTCATTTTAGTTTGTTTTTTCCTCCTTTCTGTTGGTCGGAGAGTGCCGACTTTGTGGGTGGGGGAGGGTAGCAGGGTTCTGCACTTTCCTCCCTTCTAGTCCTCTTTTATGGCAACTTTCTTCTTCAGGTAGTTTGCTGGAGTCGTCCATTTATCTTCCGTGTCCCAGTTCTCACTGGGACCTGCCGCTTTTCCTCCCTATTAACTGTCAGTACCAGGCTTACACCAGCAGGGGGACCTGGGGTGGTGGTCGCTTCCGCCCAAGGATGAGTCAGTGGAGGCTGATGCAACAGTAACCGGATGTTGCAAAGCCACGTAAAGCGCATGCACAGGCTTTCCAAGATATATATATAGCCCCTCCCCTCGAATAAAGAGAGTTACTGCTTCCAGCCAAGAGAGTGCACGAGTCTTTTCATCCCCAGCCCCTCCGCCGTGTTCCTGAACCCCGTCGGCCTGCAGGCAAGACCGGCAAGTGGCGCCCGAACGTGGGGCACAAGTACGAGGGATCCTCTGAGGGACCGATCAATCAGTAAGGTAAGGATTAGGTAAGTGATCGGCATCATGGGCAATACCATGTCCAAGGGCCAACTTGTTAGAGCCCTACAACTTCTGCTTAAACATTATGGAACTCCCATTAAGGTTCAGACCCTTCATAATCTAGTCTCAATCCTCGCAAATACCAGCAAATGGTTCTTTCAGCAGGACACCATCTCAGTAAGAAACTGGGAAAAGGTCAAAGCGGACTTCCTTCTTTACAGGGACCTTTACGGACCCCAAACTATCCCCCCCCCTTATTATTTCTGTGTGGCAGCTAGTCCATGATGCCCTTAGTGACGGGGGAGCAGCTGCTTATGAACTAGTGGCTGAGGCATTGCACTCCGCAGCTCAGTCCGAAAGCAAAACACCCGCCACATACTCGGCCACAGCAAGCTCAGCCACGGAAACCCCCCCCTTCTCAATCCTCAAATCCAGGGGGAGATTCCTCTTCAGATGAGGGGAATGTGGAGGACAATACAGACCATCCACCTCCCTATGATAGACCACCCCCATCAACCAAAAATCGGCGGCATCCCTCCCCGCCCACTCTCCCCTCTGCCCCTCCACTCAACTCCCATGGCTCTGACCCAGACTTTCCTGGGCTTATACAGTCCCTAACTTCTGTTCTTTCGAGATTTGTACCCTCCAACTCTGAAAATTCTTGGGAATCCCTTCTGGCCTGCCCGGTCTTGGTTGTTCAAAATGATCAGGGACAGCAGGTCCAGCAACATTCGGCACTGCCTTTCCAAGACCTCAAGCTCTTAAAAGAATCTATCAAAGACTATGGACTTCAGAGCCCTTTTGTTCACCAAATGTTAGACACCTTTGAAACCTTTATTATGATACCCAATGACTGGAAGGACACTTTCCGCGCGGTTTTGAGCCCGGGGGATTATCTTTTGTGGAAGGGTCAGTTTACAGAACTCTGTGACCAGTATGCTCAAACCAATATTCAAAGAGGTTTTCCCCAACAAACTAAAGAAATGTTAACAGGGGAGGGTCCCAATTATAGTACTAATCAGCAACAATGTTTATATAATCCTGCTGTTTTTGCTCAAGTGGCCTTGGCAGCAAAATCAGCTTGGAAGGCACTGAGATCCCGGGGACAGCCTCACCAATCCCTTACAAAAATCCTCCAGGGCCCCTCAGAGCCATTTGCTGACTTTGTAGCTCGCCTTCTAACAGCAGCCTCTCGAATTATGGGTGAGGGCGAGCCTACCTCTATACTAGTCAAACAATTGGCATTTGAAAATGCTAACAAATGATGCCAGGAGGCCATTCGCCCATGGAATGATAAACAGGATATTTCTGGGTACATACGCTTGTGTAAGGATATTGATGGGGCTACCGTTACAGGCACCATCATGGCGGCGGCTCTGCAGCCGTCAGCCCAGCACCCCACACGAGGCGGTTCCTGTTTTGGGTGTGGTCAAACGGGCCATTTCCGCAATGAATGCCCCTCCCGTCCTAATAGTTACACTTCCTGGCCACAGGGGAGTGCCCTTACACGTCCGCGACCTCCCGGTCCCTGTCCTCGTTACAAAAAGGGCCTCCATTGGGCTAATGAATGCCGTTCAAAATTTGATGTAAACTGGCTCACCCATAACTCCTTCTCGTCAGTCAAACTCAAGGGGGACTCCAAGGCCCCAGGCCTCCCTCTCTCAGGGGCTATACAATCAAGTTCCACCTCCAGCTTCTTATCACCTTCCTCAGAATTACATGGCGAGCCAAACCCACCTTCCTCACAGCCTCTTTCCCTCTTCAGCCAGCTCCAACGAGCTGGGCCCTCCAGCCCAGGATTCGACGTCCCAATAAAATCCCCTTCCCTTTTAACACCTGCTATGGGGGTCCAACCTATTTCCACGGGAATTCATGGCTCCATGCCTCCTGACCATTTTGCCCTTGTTTTAGGACGCAAGCACTCTGCTATAAGGGGATTGTCCATCATTCCAGGCATCATTGAACCTTCTTTCTCAGGAGAAATTCAAATTTTAGCCATGGCCACACAGGGAGTAGTTTCTATCTCCCCCGGACAATCCGTGGCTCAATCCCTTTTCCTTTTCATTCTCACATCAAGACCTGTCAGTCTCAACCTTTGAAAAGCCTAGCTAAAAACTCTCCTCCGGTTTGTGTCAACCTTTCTCTCCAATTAGACAGTCGGCCAATGATTTCCCTTCTTGTAGAGGGCAAACACTTCATGGGTCTTTTGGATACTGGGGCTGATGTTTCCGTCATTGCTCAAAATCATTGGCCATCTGCATGGAAACTCACTCAAACTAATACTTCCATTCAGGGGGTGGGATCAGCCTCCCATCCATCCCCCAGTTCTCGTCATTTACACTGGACTTCAGAGGAAGGTCACAATGGGTATTTTAAGCCCTATGTCCTCCCTCATATTCCCATGAATCTGTGGGGAAGGGATGTTATGTCCGCTATGGATATAATCATTACCACAAACTCCCCAGCGACTCGTTCCATGGTCAAAAGTGGTTATTCACCTGGCAAAGGGCTGGGAAAAAACCTTCAGGGTGATCCCTTGCCTGTTTCCATACCATCCTCCCAAATCCGTCAGGGAAAAGACAAGTCTGGGCTGGGATTTACTCCCCCTTTTTAGGAGGGGCCACTGAACATCCGCCTTCTACTCCGGCTCCTCTTAAAATCACCTGGAAAAAACATGACCCGGTGTGGATCCCTCAGTGGCCCCTATCTAAAGAAAAACTACAGGCGGCTCATTCTCTTGTTAAGAATCAACTAATGGCCGGACACCTTGTTCCCTCCACCTCCCCATGGAACTTCCCTATTTTTTGTCATCAAAAAATCCTCTGGCAGCTGGCGATTGTTACATGGTCTCTGGGAAGTTAACAAAATCATGGTCCCTTTTGGCCCGGTTCAGCGAGGCCTTCCCGACCCCTCAGGAATCCCCAAGGACTTCCCCATGGCCGTCATTGACATTAAGGATTGTTTTTTCTCCATTCCTCTTCATCCCGAGGATTCCCCTCGATTTGCTTTCACCCTTCCATCTGTCAATAATATCAGTCCAGCCGACCGTTACCAGTGGGTGTGTCTTCCTCAAGGAATGACTAACAGCCCAGTCATGTGCCAGGTCTTTGTTGCTACGGTCTTGACACCACTGCAACAAACATTTCCACAACTTTATCTTGTCCACTATATGGACGACATTTTGTTGGCCGCCCCCACAGAGGCATTACTTCAAGAGGCCCTTCATAAAATCTTCCATCTCCTCCAACAGGCTAATCTCATAATAGCCCCAGAAAAAATTCAATTACAGCCTCCTTTCAAATTCTTGGGTTTCTCTCTCATTCCGGAGGCCTTCTGGCCCCTTAAAGGACAGTTGATCACTCAGGACATTCATACACTCCATCAGCTCCAACAGTTCTGTGGAGACTTGGCCTGGCTTCGACCAACTTTGGGAATTCCCACGGACACGCTCAAACCATTGTTTGATTGTTTACAGGGTGACCCCTCTCCCACGGCACCTCGCCAACTTACCCCTGAGGCCCAATCAGCCATTCAACAGGTTAACTCTTGTTGACAGTCCACCATTCTTTGCCATACTGACGCCTCCAAACCCTTTTCCTTTCTCATCTTTGCAAGCGCCCTCACTCCCACTGGACTGCTTTGGCAGGAGGGTCCACTCCAATGGTCCCATTTATCAGTCTCTCCTAAACGGGTTGTGTCCCCCTACCACACTTTGGTAATTCAACTGATCCGGGCCTCTCTTTTTGAATCATTGACCATTTATGGTCATTTGCCTTCAACCGTTTCTGTGCCATACACAAAGCCACAAATACAAGACCTTTGTTCTTCTGATATAGATTGGATTCTCTGTGCTACTCAATTCCCAGGGGAATTCATCTCACACTACCCATGATCCCCTTTGGTCACCTTTCTCCAACATCATCCCTTTTGCTTCCCTAAGGTCACCCGCACCAATCCTATCCCAAAGGCACTCACCATCTTCACCGACGGGTCTTCCAACGGCACAGCCGCAGTGGTTTCTTCTAGGGGCCAATACTCTTTTGCAGTCCCAAGTATCTCTGCCCAAATCGTTGAGGCTACGGCCATTATGGTGGCTTTACAAATTTTCCACAACACTCCCATTAATTTATATACGGATAGTCAATACCTGGCCTGGACCGTCCCACTACTGGAGATGGCCCCCTATGTCTCGGCCTCCAGCTCGGCGGTGACCATTTTAAAAAATCTACAAACTGTTATTCAGTCCCGTTCCCACCCATTCTTTATTGCACATATTTGAGGCCACTTAACTCTCTCTGGACCATTATCTCTTGGTAACACAATGGCAGACCTCCTTACTAGAACTACCCCCAAGCCCACACTCTGCCTTCCAGCTATTCATGGAGCTCAACAAGAACATGCCAATCTTCATACCAGTGCCTCCTCCCTGGCTATTAAATTTGGACTCTCCTGGCTTCAGGCTCAAGAAATTGTCCTGTCCTGCCCAGAATGCGCACCTTTCCGTCCTACACCGCCATCTTACCAGGGTGCTAACCCAAGAGGTCTTATTCCTAATCACATTTGGCAAATGGATGTCACTCACATTCCTCATTTTGGATGCCAATCCTTTGTCCATGTCTCCATTGATACTCACTCACACCTCCTCTTTGCATCCCCTCATTCAGGGGAGGCGACAAAGGATGTTATCTCACATTTGTGGCAGGCCTTTGCGTACATGGGACGGCCTCGTGTTATCAAAACCAACAATGGTCTGGCTTATGCTAGCCGATCCTTTGCCTCCTTTTGCTCTGACCATCATATCATTCACATTACAGGTATTCCTTATAATCCTCAGGGACAAGCTCTCGTAGAACGTGCCCATCAACACTTAAAAAATCAAATACAAAAACAATCTAATTCCACCCCACCAGACCCTCGCATTCGCCTGTCCAAGGCTCTGTTTACTATTAATTTTGCCTCCTTGGACACCCAAACTAAATTAACAAGAGCGGAGGTCCATTGGCAAACACAGACCAGTCATTCTATCCGCTCAGTTGTTTGGAAAGAGCCCCACTCCCTTCAATGGCAACCACCGGCTCCGGTCCTTGCCGAGGCGCCCGGATCCCTTTGTATCTTTCCTCCAGGTCAACCTCAGCCTCGTTGGATCCCTCTTCGGCTGACTCGCTTACTTCATAGTCTGCCCTCCGATCCGCCCAATGAAGAGGCGCTCTCCAAACCTTCTGAAAATGATCCTCCACCTGCTACTACTCTTCCACCTCCAACTGCAAGCACCCCCCCTCCTTTGCAACATGATTCATTGGACAATAGTTAATAATCCCCCTTTCCTTCTGCCGGTTTCCAGAAAGGGGGGTATTCTCCCATCATTCTTGTCTACCAGTTCCACCACTGGACTCCCTTCTATAGTGTCTTTCAATCTATCGTTCAACAATCAATCCTCCCTCAATTGTAGCTGTCACCTTTCCTCTTGTTGGTCCAGAACCCTCAGCAATTCCTTTGTTGTCATGTGTTTCCCTAAGGTCATTATTATGCCTGTCAATGTGTCTGAGTCTGCTTCTCAGGTAATCATCCGAAATCAACAAGCAGGTCCAGCACTGGTTGTTGGCACCTTGATCTCCGTCTTCTCGACGCTGGCAGCTGCGGCCGCGGTGGTCGGTGGCCTAGATCTATCCAACTTTGTACTCAACGCAGATACCAACAACCATCTCGCAGTCGGACTACTCCAGAGTCTCCAGCACCTTTCTCACACAAAATTCCATCAACAACCATCTCGCAGCCGGACTACTCCAGAGTCTCCAGCACCTTTCTCATACAAAATTCCATCAACAACCATCTCGTAGTTGGACTACTCCAGTTGAATCCACAAGTTTCCTTAATACAGGAAGAAATTGACTTATTGACTTTAACTGCTCATGTTCCTTGTATTCCTACTTATGCCTTCACGTGTGTTACACCTGCCATCCTTTTCAACTATTCCTTTCAAGTTCATACCCTTAATGCCTACCTATGCGGCCCGTGGAACCAAACCTTTCTCAATTTTACTGCACAATTGGCTAATCAAATTCTAACCATTAACAACATCCGTGCTTCGGTATATAATCCTGATCAGGCCCTCCCCTGGCTTTCAAAGGCCTGGGGACTGACAAAATCCTTGGGGGAAGCAATATCACTCCTAGGTACAATCCTCTTCTGCCTGGAAATCATTTTCTACATCCTGTGGTGCCAGTGGAATAGACGAAAAATCTGCAAGTAGCTCTCCAAAATGTGCGCTATTCTCCATTACAGCCCACTGAAAATCCCAGGGTGTGGATAAACATTGCCCTTGACCACCTGTAGGCCAATGACGGGTAAGATGGTGGTGTACCCGTAGCAACCTAAGACAGCTCCACTACCTTACCTAGGATCCTGGTAGTGGGTGGCTATGACGGGTAAGCACGTGAGTACGACTGCTACAACCTAAGACAGGCCCAGTGTGTGTCCCCCCCCCCATCAATAAAGTAAAAACGGGGGAGCTGTCAGTACCAGGCTTACACCAGCAGGGGGACCTGGGGTGGTGGTCGCTTCCGCCCAAGGATGAGTCAGCGGAGGCTGATGCAACAGTAACCGGATGTTGCAAAGCCACGAAAAGCGCATGCGCAGTCTTTCCGATATATATATAGCCCCTCCCCTCAAATAAAGAGAGTTCCTGCTTCCAGCCAAGAGAGTGCACGAGTCTTTTCATCCCCAGCCCCTCCACCGTGTTCCTGAACCCCGTCGGCCTGCAGGCAGGACTGGCAATTAACTTTTTAAATGGGAGATCTTACTCGCAGCGTCTCCTTGCCACCATGTTGATCCGCCTCCCATGTATGTGTGGCTTTTTTTCTAAATTTTATATTCTATTCCACTGGTCTGTGTGTCTGTTTTTATTCCAGTACCATACTGTTTTAATTATTACAGCTTTGTAGTACAGTTTGAAGTCTGAGAGTGTGATACCTCCATTCTCCTCCTTTTTAGTCAGGAGAGCTTTGGCTATTTGAGGTTTTTTAGTGCTCACATTTTTAAAACCGAAATTTGTTAACAATTAATGATTCTAATAGAAGAAGAAACCCTAGAGCCTAGGAATTCTTTCCTGTTTACATTCTCCTTCACAGAATAAAAATGGTCTACATAGAAAGCCACCAAAAATAATTAAAATAACCAGTTTAAACCATTTTTTAAAAGAGATCCCCGGCTGCTCCCCGGCCACCGGAGGAGGGTCCCACATGGCGCGCAGACCTCTCCTGCCGCCCGCTGCTCCCCTCAGCAGTGTACTTCGGTCCTTCTGCCTGCTCTGCTCCCCGCTCTGGCTTTGGTGAATTCTCTCACCCTCCCGCACTTCTGACTGTACCCAGTGCTTGTACAAATAAATAAATAAATAAATAGATAGATAAATAAATAAATCTTAAAAAAAAAAAAAAAAGAGAATAATCATCAAAATAATGATCCTATGAGTCAGGAAGGCATGTCAGAAATACACAGCCAAAAACAGATGGCATATTTGACTCTGTACTCAAAACAAAGTAAAAGCTTCGAGAAAAAACAAACTATGAAAGAACTACATAAATCAAAAATAGAAAAACTCAGGGAAAAATGACTGGA